CAGAGGGGCGGGGAGGAGGGGCCTCCTGGAACCCGGAACACGGGTGACTACCTGGATTATGGCTCCATCCCAAGGAGGCTGGTGGTCGGGAACTTCTCATGTGCCTGGAGGGCTCCTTGCTCAGCTCACCAAAGACGCCCCCCATCAGGGCTGAGCTCATCTGCTGCAGGGCTAAGGCACCAGGGGAGGGCAGGGGGTCCAGGATGGTGCTGGAGGGACTGCCTTGGGGCGATGTGTGTAAAAGAGGCAGGAGATGGAACTCCAGGGGGCCACGCTGTGCAAGGGTCCTCACTCGCTCACCCATTTCCTGGGCATCTGAGCAAACTTATTACTGTTCTAAATCCTTTCCTTAAAACATATCCAAGGATCCTCGCAGTGTCAAAGACTAAGCCTACACTCCTTCCAGGGTCTGCAAGGCCCTTTAGATCTGGCACGTGCTTCCTAACCATTACCCCCATCAACCTGCCCCTCTGGGGATGGGATTTCATTCAGGTCTCGGTTACTGCTGCCTCCTCCAGGAAGTCCTCCCTGGCTGCCCTCTGGACAATGGCCTTACTCTCCATCCCCTATCCTGTTCTTTATGTCTTGATAGCCACTGGCATCATCATTTACATGTGTTCACTTTGGCCTCAGTATTCCTATTAAAAATAATCAGCTTGGAGGGGCAGGGGTCAGACAGTGGCATGGAGGAAAAATGCAACACTCCTGCTGACCTGCACAGGAATGTTCCGGGTTTGCATCGGAAGCGTTCCCTGAACTTGCAGGGTGTGTACATGTGCCCATGTCCCAGGGCTGGCTGAAGCTGGAGGGTAGATTGCTGGCATTAAGACCTGTTGGGGTGGGGCCAGCAGGTGGCATGGTGGTTAAGACACTCTCTCACATATGGCTGATGTAGTATGAGTCCCAGACCCAGTGACTTGAAAATCACACCGGGCATATGTGTGTGCATACCCGAAATCCCAGAAGGAGATTGGAGGGGAACGAATTGTGGTGTGGCCATCCACCAAGGGAGTAGGGGAGGGTGATTTCTCACTTTCCCTCTCACTATCTCTCTCTCTCTCTGTCTCTTCCCAGTGAGTGTGTGCCCCCTATGGCAAAAACCTAAAAAAAAGGGACCTTGTTGGGGTGTCTCTGTCTCTCTCTCCTCTCTCTTTCTCTCTCTCATGTTTGTAGGAGAAATTAAAAAAAAATTAAAAAGCAAAACAAAATTTGTAGCTGGGTCCCAAACGTTTGCCCATTCCCTGGCACATGACAATAAATGTTTATCAAGTGGCTGAATGAGTGGCCAGGAGGAGAGATGGCTGTTACTCACCAGTGCTGCCCAGTACACGGTGGTTTTCAGGAACGGGGACCACAGTGCAATAACCTTGCAGCTCTGAGTCAGGAAGTCGGTGGATATCAGCCCCAGGTTGAGATCCAGGGACAGCTCTGCTGCCGGCCTGGCAGTCACACAAGAGCACAGTGAGAGCCGGGCCAACAGAGGCTGTCCTCAGACACTCACAGGTTCGAGACTTTCCCAATGACCCAACAGAATAAATGAATAGTATGAAGTGGTAACACGTGCTGAGGAGGACGAGACAGCTGGGAAGGAGCTAGGTCATGTGCAGGTGAGATCAGGGAAGACCTCCTGGAGGTGATGTGAAAGCAAAAACCTGAATGGAGTTGGGGACCAGCCATGTGGGGACTCAGGGGAAGAGGGACTGGCCAGCATGAAGGGAGCTCAACTGGTTTATTCAAGGGACAGCCACCTGCCAGCCGGTGCTAGGGTGGCTGGAGCTCTGGACTCCCACATGGCCAGCTGTGGTTCGAATCCCGGACCTGGCAGTTTTCTGTCTTGCTTTCCCTTTCTGTCTCTCTCTGGTCAAGTTTTAAAAAATAATAAGAACAAATGGAATTAAATAAATACATAAGGCTTTAATAAAAAGGAAGGTGTAGACAGCCAAGTCCCAGGGCGATGGGAACAGAGTGAATCGGATGCGGACAGGCAGGAGGTGCCCTAACAGGAGCCAGCTCACGAGACCCTTGTGATGAGAGCATAGGAAAGTTCGGGAGAGAGCGGGGTGAGATCTGAGATATGAATTCGAGGCATCCCTCTGCCTTGCGAGGAGGAGGAACTCAAGAGGCCCGGAGCAGAAGCAGGGAGCCATGTGAGGGCCACAGCAGGTGCCAGGGAAGAAGAGAGGGGGAGGAGGAGAGAGCTAGGGGCCTTGAGATGATCTCAAGACAGAGCTGGCCAGACTGGAGGAGGTGGCGGGAGGGAAGGAGGCCAGGCTGCCTCTTTGATGTGAGGTCTGAGTGCTAGAGATAAAACGAGGCCCCCTGGGGCTGGGGGGCTCTTGCCTGGCAAGCCTGCAGGCCTCAGGGACAGGTCCTGCAAACCCTACGGCCTAGTCCTACCTCCATCATAACATTCTCGCTGGCTTTCGCTTACAGCCCTGTGACGACGGGGAGATCACCACCGGCCAGGGAGCAGGCGTCACTGTCACGAGCACAACCTTTCAGATAAACTCTCTGCTTTCCTGAGCACCCCCTCCAACCAGCCCCAGCCCAGCATCCCTCTTGGAACCCCAGAATCCATGGAAGAAAATAAGACAGCGAAGGGAGAGAGGGAAAGACGGCGCGTCAGGCTCTGAACTTACGGAGCCTCAGTTTGCCCTCCCGGCCACGCCACTGCAGTGACAGCACCGTCCCATCCACGTGACCGTCAAGGAGACTGTGCTCACAGAGGTGAACCGATTTGCCCAAGGCCCCCGAGAAGTGAACGGCAGAGCGAAAATTCCAGCCCAGGTCTGGGCCCCAACTTCAGCACAACCTCAAGATCTCACACAGCCTCCAGACAGACCAAACAGGGGTGGAGGGTCACCTGGTCCAGCCCCCTGCCTCTTAGCAGGAGTGCAGAGAGGCAAACGCCAACCCCAGGGCAAGCCTCCTCACTGTGTGCGATGCTAAGATGAAAACGGGGCCTCCCTCCATGGGGGGAACCTAGAGAATAATGAGGGGGCTCCATACTTGCCTCGAGGGCCTGATACCTGGACCGTCCTGGTGTGCTGATGTAATTTGCAGCCCAAGGCTTAGTGCCTGACCCCAGCACCAGCCCAGCCTCTCGGCACACAGTAGGTGCTTCATAATCATTGTTAGGTATGTATATGAATCATGGCGTCAAGTCATGACCTATGCCCCTTCCTCCCTGGGAAGGAGAAAAGATAATCAATTATGTGTGTGTGTGAGTGTGTATTATATATATAAAATCAATTCATCCCAGGTTTCCATTGCAAGGGCCGAGAGACTGGCCGGCTTGCCGAGTTGAACCGGGACAGGGAGACAGCGTCAGCCCCACTGCGAGTCGCTGATAAGAGGGGCTTGGGCCGGGGAATCCAGACGGCTTGTCTATCAGCCTATTAAACACCATTCTTACAAGTTTTTTTTTTCCTCCCCCCTTTTCATTAATACGCAGGGTGAATAGAACATTGAATAAAAATCAGCCCGAGCCGCACAATTGCAGGATTGAAAGGTAACTGTCAAAAGAAGGATTTGGGTGACAAAGGGAACGGTTTCGGCGCTTAGCAAATGATTTTCGGCTTGTCATTTCAATGGGCTGTGTTTTTCAGAGATTGTGGGGTGGGTTCTCTCTCTCTCTCTCTTTGAATAGCATTTATTACCATGCTTTAACATTTCTGTGTGTGTTGTCTCTTTCCAGACGCCCTTCCTTCACAGCATCTGTGTCCCCCTCCTCCCAGGTCTCACGGATGCAGCGTGTCCCAAAATAAAATAAGATAAAATAAGACACACAGATCTGGGGGGCCACGGAGGGGAGAAGACGTTTTGTGAGGAGTGGGGAGTGGCAAGGGGGGGGCGGGGGACAGGGGGCAGAGGTCAGGAGGGGAAGAGGGCACAGCTGGGGCTCACACCCTGACCTGTGGGACCCGCCGCATCAGCTCCAGCCTCAGCCTCGCGGGTGGCCACTTTTCTCTCTCGGGGTGACAAGTGCCTTGGCCTTCCAATGGACGCAGCTCCTGTCTCCCCGTCGGGTCGGGCCGGAGCCCACCACGGTACTCAGAGCAGCTTAGGGAGCACTAGGTCTAGAGGGGATGTCCCCATGGCACAGACCGATGGTCCGCCTGTGAAGCCCCGCTGTGACAGCTCAGCCCTCGGCGACAACATGAAGCCAGCTCTCAAATGGGCCAAGAATACAGCGTTAGGACATGCACAAAAAAGCACGCACGGGTCACTTAAAAGGTGGGGGCCATGCTGTCTGCGTCTCCAAGTTGACAGGAGTGTCTTCCTCTGTCTTGGAAGGCACGTGACCAGGAGTCAGCATGAAACCTGGGCACTCGGCCGCCCCTGGGCAAGTCTGTCTCAGTCCCTGGGCCTCAGTTTTCCTCATCTGTGGAATGTGCCAGTGGCACCCAATAGTGGTTCCAGACTTTTTTCTTTCTTTAAATTGTTGTGATGGGGGCATGCACTTGCTGGAGAGAGACAGAGACAGAGAGGGAAGGTGAGAGATCACACCACAACGCCTTCTCCATTCTCCTCTCAGGATTTTGGGCATGCGCGTCCACGTGCCCTGCATCTTTCTCAAGTCCCCAGTTCTAGGACTCTAAGTGCACAGTCAGCCATGTGGGACCCAGCGGCCCTAACCACCATGGCCCCGATGGCCCAGCCAAGACATTTAAAGAAAAACAAAAACAAACACAGAGCAGGTGATTATTATGTTCCGGAAATGCAAATGAAGCCACAATAAGGCAACAACACTCACTGTCACGCAAATGCAAATGAGGCCACAATAAGGCAACAACACTCACTGTCGGTGACCAAAATGAAACTGAGGCCAATACTGCATGCTGGTGAGGACAAGAGGAGTATCTTAATCACCCACACTGCCA